AGCCGCCCAACCCTCCAATAACAACTCGCCAGCTGGACCGTTGGGATTGGCCACCTGGGGTGGCGTACAACTGATGAAGGGAGGGAGAGAGTGGTGAGAGGAAGAGCGGGAGAAAAGAATGGAGAGAGAGGGACGAATGGGGAATTGGGGAATAAAAGTGAAAAAGAAGATTGAGTGGAGGGAAGCCAAGGAAATCGGGAAGAGGGAGAGTGGGGAAAGAGAATGGGGAGAGGGGAAGAACACTACGATGTAGGGTCGATTTTGAGAATTCTCAACAGCGACAGCATGAAGTGGGGCGGGGAAGGGGTGCACGAGGAGAACAGGTAAGAAAGAAAAGGTTGGAGAACAACATGAAAGCACCGAGCTGACTCAACATCCCCAACTGTTGTTTGACTATGCTCCATCCACATGGCTCCATGCATCAGCGCACCTAGCTACTGACGTCATCATGGGTATCTAGCTGCCGACCGGTCAGCTTGCTTGGCTGCTGACATCACGGATGAGGTCATCAAGTTGCGGGGTGGCGGAGGCATGGAAGCCCCCTCCCCCCACGGCCGTGTCCACATTGATGTAAGCCACTGCTGATGTCGCTAGCACTGCTGCATTGTCCTCCGCCCACTCCGTTGACCCCAGTTGCAAGGGGGGTGGGCATGGGTGGAAAGGGTGGGGGGAAAGCAGTGCACCTTGCATGGAATGGAAGCCCCCTCCCCCCACGGCCGTGTCCACATTGATGTACGCCACTGCTGCTATTGCTCCACAAGGTGTCGCACGTCCGGCTGACCGTCCTAGGAGGGATGTGCGCCCTCCTAACCGGCTGACCTATCCGATCTTGGGCAAGCCAAAGGTGGTACAGGCTGGGAGTGTGGCTGAGCAGTGTGATGAGAATGAAATAGCACACTGCTACTGGGCAGCCGTCCCTGAGCCCAAGACGTTAGCTGAGGCATTGAGCGGGCCCGATGCTGAGAAGTGGAAGCAGAGTGTGAAGGAGGAGTATGACTCTTTGCTGGAGAATGAGACTTGGGAGCTGTGTGAGCTGCCTCCTCGGAAGAAGGCAATCTCTTCGAAACTGATCTTCAGTCATAAGTATGGACCAGATGGGGCGCTAACCCACTACAAGTCAATGCTTGTGGCAAAGGGGTTTCAGCAGACAAAAGGGAAGGACTTCGATGAGCTCTATGCTCCTGTTGGGAAAGGGACAACACTGAGGGTGATGTTGTAATTGGCTGCAAATCGTGGATGGAGGATGAAGCAGATGGATATCATAAGTGCCTTCCTCAACCGGATCATTCTAAAGGAGCTGTACATGTTACAGCGTGAGGGGCTGGATGATGGGAGCGGCAGGGTGTGCCGGCTGAAGAAGGCCATCTATGGCTTGAAGCAGGCTCCTCGCACATGGTACCACAAGCTAGAGGAGACACTGCTGGCTGGGGGGTTCAAGAAGAGTGAGTGCAGCCACATCCTATTCATGCTGCAAAAGAAGGAGCAGCCTTTCATGCTCGTGGTGTATGTGGACGACATCCTGCTCTTCTCCGAGTCATCTGCAATGATTGAGCGTGTGGAGGAGATGCTGGAGATGCAGTTTAAATGCTCCAAGATGGGAGATGTGAAGTACTACCTGGAGATGCTTGTAGAGAGGGACCTTGACAAGGGAATGTTGAGGTTGCACCAGAGGAAGTACTGTGAAGGGCAGGCCGAGAAGTATGGGCTGTAAGATGGAGGGAAGCCAGCCACCCCACTGCCTTCAGGGTTCACAGTGGAGCCCTGTGTTGATGAGGAGGTGGTGGGAGAGAGTGACAGGAAGCTATTTCATTCCATGGTTGGGGCGCTCACCTATGCGGCCAACCACACGTAGCCTGACATTGCCTTTGCAACATCCAGGCTTGCCAGTGTGGTTTCATGCCCCAGTCATGAGCAACTGGAAGCGGCCAAGAGGTTGGTCCGCTATGTGAGTGCGTCAGCATCAGTGGGCTTGGAGTGTAGTGCTGTGCGATAGAGGCTGCAGAAGGGTGCAGCTGATTTGAGCAAGGGGGAGATGCTTTTGACTTGTTACACCGACGCTAGCTTCAACTCTGTGAAGGTAGATGACACCAGCATTGGAGGCTATGTGTGCCTGTTCGGAGGTGGTGCAGTGAGCTGGCGCAGCAAGAAGCAGAACGAGGTGGGGCATTCCTCGTATGACACAGTACATGGCCCTGCATCGTGGGGCCAAGGAGGTAGTGTGGCTGAGGCGTTTGTTGAAGGAGATCGGAGTGTGCCAGAAGGAGCCAACTGTGATTTTCTGTGACAACGAGTCGGCTGTGAAGCTTGCTAAGAATGCTTGCCTTCATGGGCTGACGAAGTACATCAAGCCCAAGTGGCACTGGGTGAAAAGGCTCCTGGACAAGGAGGTGCGGCTAGAGATTGTGAAGACCCATCAGCAGGCGGCTGACATTCTCACCAAGCGCCTGGCTGAACCTGAGCATTGGAAGGGCATGAAGCTTGATGGGATGAGTGTGCATTGAGGGTGCATGCATGAGTTGAGGCATGTGGAATGATGGTAGGCAACCAGAGGGGGATTTTGTTGTGTGATATAACCATATGCATTCACGTTTGTCTGCCTCCCATCATATGTTCGTGCGGTGCATGCGTGGTGTGAGCGTGTGCAAGAATTTGTGTTCGGTGTGGTTTGGATTCTGTGAGTATGTGTGAATTTTATTTCTCTTGAGCAGATATCTGAAGTGACTCCTCTGCTCAAGAGCTTTCCAACGAACCAAGAATTGTCGCGGTCGGAGCAAGAACGACGAAGTTATAATCGTTCGAAGTTTTGATTGGGATGCGACGACTTTGGAAGTTCGTTGAGTGACTCAATATGGGGTATAGAATTTTGGGGGTTGGGAAATTTGTCCCCATCACTGTAGATGCTGCCAAGTGGTTGGGAGAAACCAAATTGGGTTGGCAAGTATGGCCACCTAGGGTGAGGTAGATTGTGGAGGTTGGGAAAGTGACAAAGATCAAAGTTGGGGTTGCCTAGAGAGAGGGGAATTGTGTGGCATGAGTTTCCTTGGTTTGGGACTCCCTTGGGACCTTCCCTCTCGTCCTCATCCCCTCCTACCTGGTTCATTGCTACTCTAACTTTCTTTGTGAGACTCTTGTGATTGAGTTAATATTCTATGACAGCATACCCCCCCTATGCGCCGAAATTGATAAGTCGAGATATATACTTCATTTCTTGATACGATTCAACTTGGGAATTGTAGCTACGCTCTAGAGCTACAACATATTCAAATGTGGTGAAGTTTTAGCAGTGCGTTTTTCGTCGACGGCATCTCTTGTGAGCGCGACTTTTCTGTCCATAATTCAAAGCCAACGATTTTGAGAAATTTAGGCACCTAATATTCGTAGACTCTGTCCTTAGTCTCTAACAAGTGGTATCAGAGCTGATTAAGGACTTTGTAGAGAGTCTACTGAAATGTGAAGACCCTCCTAGACCCTCCATGGCCTGTGGATGTGCCTAAGTGGAGTTCTGGAGGTTGGTTGTGACTTTCGCTAAGGGAAAACTCTGCCGAAATTTCGTTGGCGCCGACACTTGTGAAAATATTGTGGGCCTTCAGTATGGACATCAAAGGGGGGAGCTGAAACCTGTGTTTGGGAGCAGAGAAGATGAGTCAAAGGAGTAGAAAAGCAGCTGAGAAGAAGAGTGAGCCACCACCATCCAAGATTGAGGCGTTGGATGGCTCAAACTACGAGGAATGGAGCGGGCGGATGAGAAGCGTCTTCAAGCGCTACAAGCTGCTGAAACTTGCGATGGGAGAAGAGAAGATGCCCGAGGAAGGAGATGCTTGAAATCGGTGGATTGAGCGGAGCGCGGTGTTGTTCGACCTCATCTTGCAATCGGTCAACAACGACATGTTCCAGCACATCAAGGACTCGGTTAAGTTGGACGACTCCGGTCCAAAGGCGTGGAAGCTACTGCGCGACGTGATTTAGCCTAACACGCTGCCCATAGTGATCATGCTCGAGAAGGAGCTGGCGGCCCTCTCCATGCGATCGGGAGATGATGTGAAGCCGGTCCTTGACAAGATCAATGACACATATGCGAGGATGGCAGCGGCGGGCAGTGACGTGTCGCAGATGCAGCAGTGCACCAAGATCATCTTGGTGCTCGACAACTCGTGGGATAACCTCATCCCCACCCTCAACGTTCAGCAGGACAAGTGGACGCCTGAGCGGCTACGGCAGCAGATCCTGCAGGAGGACTTCCGCATGCGCCACACGGGAGGTGGTGCTGCCAACAAAACTGCTGAGGGGTATGGAGCTGCAGGAGGCAGCAGAGGAAAAAGGGGAGGGAGAGACCGAGGCCGTGGGAGAGGCTTTGGCAGAGGGAGAGGCCGAGGTGACTACAACGAAGGGCATGGGAGCTCTGGTGGTAGGGGAAGCACCCGAATGGAGGGTGCATGTTGGTACTGCAAGAAGGCTGGACACCCATGGTTCAAGTGTTTCAGGCGGCCTGAGGGATGGTCGTGTCCAGGCATGAAGCCGCCAAGTGGTGAACGTGCACGAGGAGGCGCTATTCAGGGCAATGGTGATGCAGAATCGGGGGTGTCTTATCTTGTCTGTGGCAAGATCGTTGTTTAGTTTACGCGCCTTGAAAACCTGCCAGCCACCGAGCGAGGTTAGGGCAGAGGGGAGTGTGGAATGCTGGGTGTCTGATTTGCCACCCACCTTCACTGAAGCGAAGCCACCATGCCACTCGCTGGAGCCGTTGCTACCATTGGCATAGCCATCCGGAGTTATCTAAAAATTTCATGTGCAATAAAGCAAGGTGGAAAAAAACGATTGCGGTAAAAAACGATTGAAAAGAACGATCGTTTTTTACGGTCAAGTTTGGGGAAAAAAAAAAAATCAGGAAAAAAAAAACCTTACAAATCCCCAGCCACCAACACTCTCTGGCAAGTCAGTGCTGATAAGTTTTCTAGCCTGATTGCAATTAAAATAAAATATAGAAAGGTCGTTACAGCTCATCACTCTCTATCTAACACCATCGATGTCACTAAAGTCCCATGCGTTGGCCCCCCCCCCTCCCCCTCCTCCTCCTCCTCCTCCTCCCCCTCCCCCTCCCCCTCCCCCTCCCCCTCCCCCTCCCCCTCCCCCTCCCCCTCCCCCTCCCCCTCCCCCTCCCCCTCCCCCTCCCCCTCCCCCTCCCCCTCCTCCTCCTCCTCCTCCTCCTCCTCCTCCTCCTCCTCCTCCTCCTCCTCCTCCTCCTCATCGTCTTCGTCAGCCGAACGCTTCTTGGTCGCCTTTCCCTTGTTTCCCTTCGTCACCTCTTTCTTCTTCCTCTTCCCGATGCTGCCAAGAGCTTCCCAGTCAATCACGCAATCGACATCACCTTCTTCCTCTTCAACCCGTGGTTCAAAGCCTTCGGTCTGTGGTTCAGAGCTTTCGATTGCCGTCGTCGTCACTCTTTCTAGAGTGCTCTCGTTGAGCTTGCCTGCTGCTAGGTCTGCAAAATGTTTGGCGCGCACTTCCTGCTTCTTGTCGAATGCAACCCTCGAACGCCTACTGAATGCCACCGTGGTGACATCGATCATGGTCTGAGCGCTCAGCCTGTTGCGATCACGCCGCTGCACCCTTGCCATCGCAGACCAGCACCTCTCAACTTCCGACGCAGTGATAGGCTGTGATAACATTCTCACAGCCAAATCCTGCAGCTCGGGGAGTTCCCCTCCATACATCGCCCACCAATCTGCATGTGAGAGACGTCCACTCTCCACGAACAGCGCTGCGGCCCGTGCATCTTCCCCCCCCCAGACGACCCTCACCTCTGTGGTACGTAGCAAGCTGGGCTTGCAACAAGATACGGCCTTGCATGTCACCTCCTCGTGCCTGCAGCACAGCATTGACCCCTTTGATGATCTTGGGGTCGTTGCGGAATTCAATCGCCAGCTGGTTCTTCGGGTTAAGGAGCCAGCCGAATGCATGCATCGGGTTGTGCAACTGCTTATCCCATCTGCGCCCGATGATGCCCTTGATGGCCGCCAAAAACTTCGACCTCTCCTTCCCGGCGAGCACTTGGCTGTGACGCCTGAAGAATGTCGCTGCAAAGAAAGACATAATACAATTAGGGCACGAATCTGGTTTAGGGTAAGACGGAACTTGTAATGGGTGTGCAACACTGTTTACCTGCTCCCTCTGCCGCCTCATTGACCGCCACGGTCGCCTCGAGCATCATCCCGTAGATAGATCCCATCACAAGAGCTCTTGTGTCGACTGCTCGTAGCACATTGTAGATCGGCATCATCAGTTTCTGCACTGATTTGACCAATTCCCAGAAGATATCATCCACGAGGAGTTTCCGGATTTTCTTCGCATCTTCGATCTTAGACACTGCCACCTCCTTCCACTGGTCACTGATGACCAGCTGACGAAGCTGTTCCTTGACCTCCAAGAACCGGGTGACCATGATCACCTGCGTGCCAAAGCTGGTGGTACCTGGCCGAACAAGCTCAAGCTTGCTGAAGATCGTGCGGAAAAGGGCAACAGCGCTCGCACTTCCCTTGACCATCATCACGATGCGATGGACCTGGGTGAGAACTTTCTTCACAATGCCGATCTTGTCAACGGGAGTTGTGTGTTGGCCCCGTCCTTGCTTGGGCGGAGCCGCGTTCGTGGTCGGATGTGAGGGGAGCAGCCGACCTGCAGCAGTGGACGAGCTGGTTGACGAGGAGGTCGACCTGCACGCGGACCACTGCACGGGGTCAACTTTTGCACGCGGACCACTGCACGGGGTAGACTTTAGTATGAAGCCGACTTCAGGGAGGTCGACCTGAGAAGTTGACCTGCGGAGGACGTCAACTTGGTGACGTCAACTTGGGGAAGCCGACTTCGGTGGTCGGCTGACGGACTGCTGGTCGACCTGGTGGTTGGTCGACCAGGCCTGCTGGTCGACCTGCTGGTGGTCGACCTGACCTGGTGGTCGACGGCGGAGGGGCCGACGTCGACCTCGACTCAGGACGCCGAGCAGTTTGGCGTCGAGTAGCGGGGCGTCAACTTCATGACGCCGACTTCGGGTAGCCGACTTGGGTGGTCGGCCGACAACTGCGCTGGTCGACATGAAGCTGGTCGACCACGAATGCTGGTCGACCACGAATGCTGGTTGACGTGGAGCCGTCCGACCGGAAGTGACGTCAACCTGGAGCTGGTCGACCAGGTGCGTGGTCGACTTGGAGGTGGCCGTCGACTTGGGAGGTCGACGGGCATGTACGGGAGCAGCTGGTCGACGTGGTTTCCAAGTCGACCAGGTTACCTGGGTGACGAACTTCTGCGGAGGAGTGCGACGGTCGCCCAGGCGAAGTTGGCGAGCCCGACCTCGGGGGTGGTATCCCGAGGTCGACATGGCGGATCAGGTGGAGTCGTCAGCACGAGGATGACTTGGTGTGTGCGTTGTGCAGGTGACGAGGCTCTGCCCGCCAATCATCTGCGAGCACCTGCGAAGCGGGTGCGCTGCTGTTCTGCGTGAGCAGCGCTGACACGCCATGAACCTGCGAAGTTGGCCCGCTGTCGACTTTGCACTGCTGGAACGCGGTCGACCATGCTGCGCTGGCAGTCGACAGACCTGAATGCTAGCTCTGATGTAGTCTTGCATTGCCAACTCCATTGTATCATTATTGTCAACTTTCTCTAGTGAAACTCTTGCCAAATTGCCCCGTGAACTAGCAAGCAGTGTGAGCACTAGGAAAACGACTAATGACCAACGAACGCAGAGATCACACGAGCACCCGTGCCTAGCCCGTAGTCTAGCTCCCGTTGTAGTAGTTATCTCCGCAGATCTTACCCATGTCGTGGAGCATGAGATCGAGACAATGGGCAGCACAGTTGGTGAAGAAAATCGACGGGTAACCCTCACTGAGAATTGCGGCAGCACTCTTGTTATTACTTGCGTTGTCCATGACCACCTGAATCACCTTGTTGTCCCTCACCTTCACGATTGACGTCCTTATGAGATCAGACAGGTATGAACCTGTCTTCTTTGACAGCTTGGAATCGACAATTTTGACAATCACTGGTGCAGTGTCGCTGTGCGCCAGCACACACACCAAGCCGCGACTCTTCAAGCACAACCATCCGTCGACGGAGATGGTGCACGACGTCGTTGCCCAAGGATCTGTCAAGGGCCGCACGAGTTCTTCCGTCTCTGTCTTCAATCTGGCGAGCAATGGGCCCGCGACTTTGTAGGCAGACGGTAGTGTGTAGGGTCTCTTAAAACTCACTAACGCGTTCAGAAAGTTTTGGACCGCAACAGGTCTGTGGGGTGTGGTATGAATGCCAGCAAAGCATAATATTAACAAGGTGAGGAGGAGCGTTGCAGCAGCAGCCAAATCATGATGGGCACGAATCTGCAGCAGCCATGAGATAAGCGCTATTACACCATAACTAATTAACACGTAAAATGGGGAGGGAAGATGTCCATGGAAGAAACATGGCACAAGGGTTAAGCGTTTCCACTCACTCAGAGACCCGAAACGCCCAATCGTTCTCTGCCACCGCAGTCACCCAGAGAAGATCGAGTTGCTCACGGCCCTTTTCGTCTGTGACGTCACGGATGTCGAGCTGGCGACCCTTCTTAGGGCCGTTCCCCACCAAGGATGTTGAGCTGCTCGGATTGCCCGTAGACGTTGCACTCTTGAGGCGGAGATTCACCACAAAGTCAGACTTACAGACCCCTATGTTTTTCGGCTGACCTTTCTGTCGAATTATATTTGTCATGTTTTATAACTGCTTGTAGTTGTAGTTAGTGTAGTTATTTAAACTGTTGTTGGTGGTGCACCTTATTTGGTTCCTATGCTATATGTACTTCGAACCCTATAGTGAAACCATCATTCTCCAATTTCTCTTCCAACTCACTCGATACTCACCCTAGGTAAAACCCGCTCGACATCCTACTTGGGCCTAGGCTACTAAGCCTAGGCCCTACTTTAATCTACTCGTTCTCTCATTCGTTCAACTCTCGACATGGTATCAGAGCGACGTTCGTTCTGGCCTCACGTTTCCGCTGCTACGATTTTCCGGTCGCGCGCCTAGGGCGCGTGACGAATTTTTCCTTGTCCCGCCCCCGGTTGGCGTGTGACGCCTTTTCTGCCCGTCGCGCGCCCCGTGGCACGCGATGGTGCCCTTAACCTGCCCATCGTGCGCCCCGTGGCACACGATGGTGCCCTGCTCGTCGTGCGCCCCGAGGCACACGATCGGGCCCTTTCTCTTATCTTACCCGTCGTGCGCCTCGTGGCACTGGCACGCGACGGGCCTTTCCGCCCCTGCTCTCCCTGAAGCCGCCCCTGATCCATCTGCGCCGACACCGTTTAGCCGCTCTGCGGCTTTCTTCCCGCCCACCCCCCTCCTCCTTTGTCTCCCTGCAGCCGTGGGGAGGAGGGTATGGGGGTGGCGGGTGTTGGAGTGTTGGGTCAACTCTCTCCCTTCCCCTCCTCCTTCTTTCAGTCCCACCGCTGCAGCTGCCGCTGGGGGGGGAGGGTGTGAGGATGTGGGGGAGCAGGGGGAGTGGTACCGGGGTGGCGGGTGTGAGGCAACATGCAGCCGTCCCTCCACCTCTCCTCTCTTCCCCCCTTCTCTGCTGCTCCTGCAGCAGTGTGGGGGAGGGGAAGGAGGAAGGTGAGGAGATGGAGGGGGTAACTATTCAATGTTAGCCCGCCTGCAGTACCTGCTGTTGCTTGTTATTCTTTTGCACGGCGAAACTACATCTCTACCTACAAGCATTATGGGGGCGTGTCGAAATATATTTGTCATGTTTTATAACTGCTTGTAGTTGTAGTTAGTGTAGTTACTTAAACTGTTGTTGGTGGTGCACCTTATTTGGTTCCTATGCTATATGTACTTCGAACCCTATAGTGAAACCATCATTCTCCAATTTCTCTTCCAACTCACTCGATACTCACCCTAGGTAAAACCCGCTCGACATCCTACTTGGGCCTAGGCTACTAAGCCTAGGCCCTACTTTAATCTACTCGTTCTCTCATTCGTTCAACTCTCGACACTTTCTCGACCCCTAAAATGTGGTCTCTGATTCGTGTAGCGCTTGCAGGAATGACAGTGGGTTTGTCCTTAGGGCAGTGAATGCACACATAGCCGACTTTTCCGTCTTTGTCAGTTACCCCCTTCACGTGGTCCCACATTTCAGACCGTGCTCTAGGCATTGTGGATGAAAAACGACCCTACTTGAACAACAACTGGCTAGAATGGACGTGGAGTGCTGAAGACAATGGTGTGGTGGCTACTAATAACAACAGAAATCGTCCGTCGGCAAAAGGCTTGCAGCTTTGCTGAGAGTATGCGTTCACGCCGGGCGTTGGATACTATCAGAGAGACTGGGCATGCTACGCGCTAGTCCCGTGGAATTCGTGTCGGACACCACGAATTCAGAAATTGCGTTACGGGAAGTGAAAGTGGTAAAGACGTGGCAACACTTGGAAGTCACGTCGCAAACCCAAATGTTAAAGTTTCGCTGACGTGCAGCAACAAAATAACATGTCGCAAATGCAACAGTAATTCTTCGCAGCGCTGCATTCATACGTGCGCTGACGCTTTTATGACGCGCGCGAAAAAAGCGAGAGCAAACTTTCCGATGCGAAACATTTTTCACGTCGCAACCAACCCCAGCATGACGAATTGATGCGTGCGTCAACTACCTGCGGTTCGAGGAACAAACAGAAGCAATTTGGGTGTACAACTTGGCACGCCGCGTCGCAGGTCTTGACATTCGTGTTTCGCACATGCACGAATTCATTTTTAAGGGTGCACGAAGTGGCCTCGAGGCTTTGCGAAATCAGCGAGAGTAGGGAAGCGAAGTGTTGGCATGCCGCGCCTCGAAGGTGGGTCCCAATTTCTGCATGTCGCGCCTCGAACGTGGGTCTAAATTTCTGACCCACAATTCCTCTCTATATTGGGTGGATTCACTTCAACCCACATACCTGTGCTCCCTCATGAATCCTCCCGCTACCTCTCCCCTTGTGTTGCTCGTGTATAGAGTGAAACCCTTCACTGCGAGTTGTGCGTTATCCGGAGATAATTGTAACTGTAAATTGTGGTACGAAATTTACGATCGT